AGCTCCACTGCCGAGCCCCATGAGGGACCCAGCGGTGGACCTGCAAGGCCGGCGGGAGTGCAAGGAAGCCCCGCCAAGGCCCTCCCTGGCCCCAGGCAGGCAGGGTGGGGAGAGGCAGGGAGGAAGCAACTTACCCTCCCTCTTCTCCTGCCTCCTCCTGGCTGAATGAGGGCCGGAAGCGGGGCCCCCCGAAATGACCTCTGATGATATTCAGTCTTACGAATAAGAAGGCTCTGCAGTATCATGGAGTAGTAAGATAGTACATATGGGGGGGGGCAAAGATTTTTTGGGGGAAAGACCAAAAGACAAGGGCAAGCAAGCATGGGGGCTCTTAAGATCAAACTGCTATAATCTAGGACATGCTTTTCGATCCAAGAAAATGCTTTGGGTTTGCCCATATCAGAAATATGATGAGCTGACGTTCCAACTGACATTAAGTTCTTCTCCAGGGCTTTTTGTTGGAGTATACAAGATCTATAGTGCACCTACATGAGACTCCTTCGGGTCCTGAAGGGTGGGGTATAAATCCAATCTCTTCTTCATCTCTCATGGTGTGTTTGCTTGTACATGTTACTGATTTGGTATGAGGCAGCTTCATGTGGATACTAGTGTATGGTTGCACGCAGGGCTATTTTTGGGCAGGAAGGCACAGGAGCGGAGTTCCGGCTGGCTCCCAAGTTGGCCACACTCAGCAAAACTCATTAACATAACAGGCCACACCCAACAGCAGAAACTCATTAGGATTGGCTACATTAGGGGTGTGTGGCCTAACATGCAAAGGGTTCCTGCTACAAAAAAAGGCCCTGGGTTTTGACAACAAGGTAAACAAAATAAGAAGCAAAAGGTGGGTGTGGCTGGATGACCACATTTCTGGCAACATGGGGGTGTGGCCTAATATGTTAATATGATGTGCTATCATGGGTGTGGCCTAATATGCTAATGAGTTCCTGCTGGGCTTTTTCTACAAAAAAAAAGCCCTGGTTGTACATTGTATATACACTATGAGGTCGGATACTGTGAGTCCATTCTGCAAATGGTGGCACTTTTGCTGATGCACGGGGGAACAGGGCACCATTAGTGGATTCGGTCTGCAGGACCCAGTCCATAATTATAAAACCCACATTCATGCCATTCTTTGAAACAATTTTCTTTTAATTGCACATGTATCCTGCCCTTCTGCAAAGAATTCAGGAAGGTTAGTATCGAGATTGTCCTGTTTTATCCTTGAAGCAACCCTGTTTTGAGAGTCATTGGTAGCTTTATACAAGGTAGGGCATCCCTTCAGCCCAAAAAAAGCCAGGGGGTTCTGATCTAATAGTCTAGACTTGAGGAATGAGCCTGTGCTGTCTTTTGGGCCTGCCCAAAATCTGCTTTATTATATGGGTTAGAAATGAGATGGAGCGATTGGAGATGAGTATCGTTTGTGTAGGGATTTGGAAAGCAGTGTTTTCCCTTCACTTGAGAGTCACAAAATGGCTCCTCTGTGTGTAGATGGGACAGGGTGAGAATGTCTCGGTGACAATCACAGATGCTAGCTTGTTGGCACTGTCCACCACAGGTTTTTGCCACCATCTTGAGAGCCATTTTGGCGTAGTGGTTAAGGGCATGGGCATTAATCTGGGAGAACCGGGTTTGATCCCCCATTCCTCTACATACAGCTGCTGGTTCTCTCAGGCGCGGTTCTCTCAGAGCTCTCTCAGCCCCACCTACCTCACAGGGTGTCTGTTGTGGGGAGGGGAAGGGAAAGGGATTGTAAACTGCTCTGAGACTCCTTTGGATAGTGAAGGGTGGGGTATAAATCCTATCTCCTCCTCCTCCACCTCCTCCTCCTCCTCCTCCTCCTCCTCCTCTTCTTCTTCTTCTTCAACCATCTCCCCCCCGAATCAGATGTCAAGTGTGAGGAGGAAAGGTAGAATTGGAGCAGATGAAGTGAAAACCCTTCCAAATAACCCCCTCAGTCCTCCAGTTTTTACATCCATCTTTTGAAAATATTTTCCAGGCAAGTTCTCATTGACCAGGCCCATCAAGGGTTGTGTTCAGGATGAGGAGTGCACCAAGGTCACAAGAGGAAGCCCGACCATCACGCTTGTGGGTTCCTGTTGCTCCGGTAACCTTTGCAATGTCGACCTCTCCAACAAGACTTACTTCGCTCCCAAGATTCCACGACTTGCTGTCTTGCCCGATCAAAGTAACAATGGCACCACTGAAGAAGCTACCCCTGGGTACATCCAGGACAGTTTGCCAGCTCCTACTGATGCCAACAAGGAGACCCCCTCTGTCGCTGGGACCCCATCCCTGCTTGATCGCAATGACCATGACCACGACCACGAGCATGACCACGACCATGACCACGATCATGACGCCAACGATGAAGCAAACTTCTCAGTGAGAAATGAGTATTTTCTTAATGCTGTAAAAGTCGAGGAGCGCAAGCACCAAGAGCAAGCACCGACAACGTATTCCAATTCTGTGAGCGGCTTAGGGGGATCGATTTTGCTGGTCTTGCTCTTAGCTGGGTTGCTTATGTGAGGGGAAGAGCGAGGAAACCAGCCTCATCTCTCAGTTCAGTTCCAACCCAATCCATTTTGCTATGACTTTTTCTCACTCAAATTAGGCTTTGGCCTACACAGGCTGGGCATCTTGTTTTGAAACCAGCATTTTGGCCTCTAACTGGGGGTGGGGGGTGGGGTAGGGTACAAGTTCTACACAACACGTTTAGCCTATCAGAAGTACATTTTCATTCAAGCACCTTCTGCTGCCTTGTTTCCACAGCCGCTCTCTCACAGCAGCTCGGAAAGGATGACTAAAATTTGATACCAAACCAACGGGGCAGAGTCTTGTGTTATATAGCTATGTGTAACAAAACTCAGTTTTGAGTTTACAGAGCATTGTCAGATTCCTTTCATACACTGGGGCTCTGTGCAGGCTCATTTTCAAGCACCATCACACTTGGCGCCAACACAACGGCGGCCATTTTGTTCCTGTCCTTCCAGGTGGTCATTTTCCTGGGCCATTTTTGGTGTAGCTTACCAGCTTAGTTCTCTCTGTATTTGGCTCTGTATCAAATTAAAGCTTTAAAGGACATATAATAGAGGATTTTAGGCTTTGGGGGACTCAGTAAGGGCTGTTAAGGTGGCTTCTGGTGTCTAGATATGTCCAGATGTCCTCTTAGATAGACTGATGGACCACCAGGTCACTTTGGATTTAATAAGATGAAGCCTTAAATCCAGACCGTAATGTAGAAACTTGCTAGGGGGCATTGACTCCTCCACAACTCCTCCAAACCTTGGCAGTCAAGCTTTGGTTGCCAACCAAGTGCCAGCTTGCTCTGTCTGGTCTTTATCAGTAAAGGTGCCTGCTGATGACTTACACTTTGGTTCATCAGTATTCTAGAAATCATTGCTAGTGAGAATTACAGCTAAAGCAATATATAGGTGCTAATTCTTTTTTCTTTTTTTTACCCATTTTATTTTCTCTGTGCTGGTACTTGAGTATCAAAGGGATTGATAGCCCCACAGGATATGGCAGACCTTATCTACATAGAACAACGATCTAAATATCAATTGTTGCAAGACAGTAAAGTCCCGATGACTTTGCCTCATGAAGAACTTGTGGGAAATTACTTGCAAAACGAGACATTTGCTGATGCTCTAGGATGCATGAGGTCAGTTTAGGACTGAAACAAAATGTCCCAAACATCGGGTGAACTGTCAAAACATTTGACAATTGGTTCTTGATCCCAAAATTTAACATTTGAATTCTGGAATCGAAATTTGAAATGGATCTATTTTGGGGTTTTTTAGCATCTTCTAAAGGGGAACATTGCCTGATTGGTTAAGTGAACGGATGATGCGAACTGAAAATTCGCTGATTCGGCCACTTGTTTTCTTTCGGAGGCTTTCAAATATCTTTTGTAACCATTTGTAACCATCAGATATCAGAAATGCCATCAGATATGGACCTGTTTCCCGCGGCAGGTGAAAATGTAGCTGCTCTTCTACTGTTTTTGTAAATAGTTTTGGATTCTACTGTTGCCAAGATCAGAAACATCAGGGGGGCATAAAATAAAAGTTATTTATCTTGGCTAAAGGACGTCTCTGTCTGTTTCTTTCCATTTTCATTATTAATTGTGGCAGTCAAGATATTTGACTGGTAGATGGTATTCTGCGATTCGAGAGCTAGCCAGGTTCTTGGGACTTGCAGAAGTATCGTTGCAGGATTCTTGCCATTTCAAGCAACACTGTCTTTTGGAACTGAGCTGGTGTTCTTTGCTCAATGCCCAGACGTCCAGGTGTTTCTCGGTTTTCCAGGCACTGCTTGAAGGGCTCCAATGACAACTGGTGCGACGGGAACCTTCTTCTGCCAGAGGCGCTCTCTTCGTAGGTTTGTAGGAACTCTCTGCCGAATGACACCAGGGACCAGTGTTCCCTCTAAGGTGAGTTGGTGTGAGCTAGCTCACAGTTTTTTAGCCTCCAGCTCACACATTTTTCTCTTAGCTCAGGAAGGGAGGGCTCCAGAGCACTCTAATTGATGCAGGAGCCAAATCGCTCGCTCACAACTTTCATGCCTGTAGCTCACAAAGTAGAATTTTTGCTCACAAGACTCCACAGCTCAGAGGGAACATTGCCAGGGCCCTGCGGGACTTTGTGCAATTCCGCACGGTCTGTAAGGCAGAGATGTTCTGCCAGGTTTTTGGTGGAGGGCGGCAATGGTTGGTTGCACTGGCTGGCACCAGTGTTCCCTCTAAGCTGAGTTAGGGTGAGCTAGCTCACAGTTTTTTAGCCTCCAACTCACACCTTTTTGTCTTAGCTCAGGAAGGGTGGCTCTGGAGCACACTAATTTATGCAGTCACCAAATCGCTGGCTCACAACTTTAAATGCCAGTAGCTCACAAAGTAGAACTCTTGCTCACAAGACTCCACAGCTTAGAGCGGGCATTGGCGGGCACCCTTTCCCTCTCACCCCTTATATATATTTGGCTTAAGCTTCCTTCTCCCCCTCCAACTAAATGGCCGGGCAGTCCAGAATTGCAACAGAAAATTGTCAATTGTCATCTGGGATCCTTTATTCTGGTTTTATCTCTTATTGGCTGTATACAGATATTTTATGAGTTGTATTTTGTTTTTTTTGGCATTTTGCCTTTTGTACATCGCCCAGAGCCCCGCGTAAGCCGGGACAGGGTGATTAATAAATCAAATAAATAAATATAATATAATTATAATTATTGGTATTTCATGATCTTCTCCTGTTCCTTCTTTTCTATTATGCTTTCTCCTGGGATTGCAATGTCAATGATCCACCAGGGCTATTTTTGGGCAGGAACGCACAGGAACGGAATTCCGGCTGGCTCCCAAGTTGGCCACGCCCAGCAGGAACTCATTAGCATAATAGGCCACACCCAACAGCAGAAACACATTAGGATTGGCTACAGTAGGGGTGTGTGGCCAAACATGCAAAGGGGTTCCTGCTACAAAAAAGGCCCTGGGTTTTGACCACAAACAGGGTAAACAGAATAAGAAGCAAAAGGTGGGTGTGGCTGGATAACCACACTTCTGGTAACATGAGGGTGCGGCCTAATGTGCTAATGAGCTGTGCTGTCAGGGGGTGGGCTAATATGGTAATGGGT